TGGGAGTTGCTGGGATGATGCTGGAGCTGTGGGAGTTGCTGCTGGAGCCGTGGGCATTGTCCCCTCCCCAGGCCTGGAGCGAGGTACCGAGTACAGCTTCCGCGTGGCCGCCATGACCGTCAATGGCACCGGCCCCGCCACCGACTGGGTGTCAGCTGAGACCTTCGAGAGCGACCTGGACGGTGAGACACCCTGGGATTGGGACAGCAAAACTTGGGAATGCATTCATTTCATTTCATTTCACCCACATCTGGCTGCCTGTTTGAAAGGCAAACCTCTGTGTTTTCACTTCTGTTCTAGGTGTACAATGGGATTTATTTAGGATTGACGTCAGTTTCTATTTAAACAGAAAATTCTTGCCAAGTCAATGAAGTGGCTTGAAATGAAACTCTGCTTCTGCAATTCCTAGTGCTGTATGTTGGCATCAAGTGCTTTCTGCTAAGAAATACTCATTTGTAGTGACAATGAAATGTCACAATAGGAAAGAAATAATGGAAAACATTCTCAGCCACAGCCTTTTGCAGTCTTAGCCCCATGGTGGTGCTGTGCTTTTTGACCCACAATAACTTACTTTGCATGGAAGAAAAGGGAGACGAATTATATTTTCTATATTTTCTGCATCACATCTCCTATCAGAAATTCTGCTGTGGGTGCTAAATATAAAATTATATTGAAACTGTGGGTATTAGAATAATTGCATTGAAAATTCCGACGATGGCAGAAAGGTTCCTGAGCTTGTTGGAGCATTAAATGGGATATTCCAAAGATCTTTGCTTGTGCTGTAAAGGGTTCTCCTCAATAGAGGGTCTCTTCCACCAAGGCCATGGATTTCAGGGATGTGGATACTGGAAACTCCTTGATCTGTGTGTCTGTCAGCCCTTAGTGAATGTGACACACCCTTGGAGCTGCCAAGTCCCCAGAGTGGGGCAGAGCTCTGTAAATGAGCACCTCACAGGGCAATGGAAGTGTCCCTGAACTAGAGTTAACAACACTTTGCCAGAGGACAGGATTAAATTTAAATTTAAACAGGGCAGAAGGAGGAAGAAGAAAAATAACCTTTTCCTTCTCTGTTGGCTTTGTCATTTAAATTTTTTGACCTCCAAATGTTGCAGGAAATCTGATTTTCTACACGTTCTTTCCATTGAATAAAGTAATAAAAATACACATTTAAGACAACACAACATGATATTCATATAACTCTGCATACACCTGTGAGATCTGTGTGCACACTGCATTTCTTGGGTTTCTTCCTTTAGAAAGCTCACGTGGATAATTTTAACACCATGCATATGCATTTACAGCTCATCTTGCTTTTCTTAGGTTCAACAGACACATGAGGCATCATTTCTTTTTATTCCACAGCTGCTTTTTGAGTTTAAATAGAAAATAATTCCCAGGGAAGTCCCATGGGTGTAAAGGGGAGCAGAAGTGTTACAATTCCACGCTGGAGTCGGAGCAGGTTCCCCCTGAGCACAGAGCAGGAGGTGTTGATCAGTTGTACAGAGTTTGTCCCCAGTGCAGTGGAAATGTCACCTCTCCTGCTGCACTTGGAGCTTTGCTGTGTTTAATAGTTGGGAACTGGAACTGCTGGGCTGTGTCAGCAGCAACCCAAGAGCTCCCCGGGCTGGGGGCCAGGGCTGTGCTGTGATCCAAATAATCCTGTTGTGGTGCTTTATTAAATGTTTGTAGAGAAATGCAGCGTGTTTCATTAAAACGAAATCCCTGCAGGAAGCACAAGTCCTTGATTCCATTTGGAGTGGGGATCTCAGTTTGCCATTGCAGGGAATTATCCCTAATCCTCCAGCACCCGACAAAAGGATTTATTTCATTTCTGAGAAGTGAACCCAAAGTTAGGGACACTCCAGGGACAGTTGGGAGATTGCTTTTAGGTTCCAGTCAACAGTGGGGAAAAGCCTCTTAGGAGGAATATTAGGGGCTTACAGTGGCACGTTGTGGAAGTGTTCTGGTGTTAGGGATCCATATTCCGTGTCTCTGTGGGATGGGGTGAGACTTGTGTTGCTTTGGGGGAAGGGTTTGAACATTTGATGTCGACTCTGTATTTTCTGAACTTCTAGTATGGCTGTGTAGTTTCTCCTTGTGTTGTATGAGTTATGGGCATCCAAGGATCTAGGCAGCAACAACTGTAGGATAAGTGAGGAGAACCCTTTGCAGTGCAGTTCTTAAAGCTGTGGAATATCCTATTTAATGCTACAACCAGCTCAGGAACCTTTCTTTCATCACCAGACTTTTCCATGTAATTATTATAATACCCACAAATAAGGAATATGATGGAATTGAAAGTGGATGAATTTGTGGAGGAGAAGGATGAGATAAAACCAGTGCATATTTGGAAAACTAGGTGACCACATGGGCAACGTGGATCTGCCTAAGCAGATCTGATACAAAAACCATCCCAACCCCCTGAGCTTCAGCACAACCATCCTGCCTGTTAAAGGGAGGATCTCTTGGAATGTCATGGTAATATTCTGCTCCTGCACACCAGAGTTTCACTGTGCTCATTCCAGCACACAGAAATGCTTTGTTTGACCTTCCTGCCTCACGGTCTCCATGTCATTGCCTTTGTTTGAGAGAGGGCCTTGCAGTGCTTCCCTTTTCCTGCAGAGAGCCGAGTGCCCGAGGTGCCCAGCTCCCTGCACGTGCGGCCGCTGGTCACCAGCATCGTGGTGAGCTGGACCCCGCCGGAGAACCAGGACGTGGTGGTCAGGGGCTACGCCATCGGCTACGGCATCGGCAGCCCCCACGCCCAGACCATCAAGGTGGACTACAAACAGAGATACTACACCATTGAGAACCTGGGTGAGTGCAGGGAATGGGATCTGTGCCCCAGCCCAGCCTCCCTCAGGGCTCCTTAAACGACTTCCATGTGAGCAGCAGCCCGAGTTCGCCGTGCTCCGTGCAGGGGAAAAAGGAACTGAAATATCACCAGGATTCACTGGTGGCTCCTTTAAAAGGAAAATAAAGATTCACCCCTCCACAGAACTCTCTGTGGGAGGTAAAATAGTCTGAAAGTGAGAGAAATAGCAATATTGGGAATTCCATCAAATCAGAGGTTTGAGTAATTTTGGTTTTGTTGTTTTACATTGTTTTTCTCACTCCTGATTTGGCTGTGCTTAAAGGTAGATTTGCTGTAACTATAGACTCGAGCTGTGGTGTCCCTGCCCAGACAGGGAGTGGAATGAGATGGGCTTTAAGGTCCCTTCTAACCCAAACCAGTCTGAGTTTCTGTGGCCACAAACAGCAGATCTGTATGGAGACTTTCTCAGTTCAAATCACATATTCCAGTTCAAAATTAAAATATTGAACAAAGAAGGCATGGAGAAGCCGAAATCAGGATCCAGTGGTTGTGCTGATTTCTTTTCCCTTTCAGATCCCAGCTCCCACTACGTGATAACCCTGAAAGCCTTCAACAACGTGGGGGAAGGGATCCCCCTGTACGAGAGCGCTGTGACCCGGCCCCACTCTGGTGAGTCCTGCCCAGCAGCTGGGATGGGCTGGGAGTGATGCAAGTGTCCTGGTTGTCAGTTCATCCCGAGCTCTCTGTCCCTGTCATGCTTGGCCTTGCACGTTCCCAATAAACCACCTAAATTTGGCTCATTTGTAAATTCCAAACTCACCTGACAATTACTAATGGATGTTCTTACTCCAAACATTCCCCTTACCTCAGCACAACCCATGTGGGTGCAGTTCTAAAGGCCCTGAGCTGGGGGTTTATGGTCCTTTTCACTGAGATCTTTGAACATGATGCCTGTGTTTGCTTTATGTCTCTCTGTTGTCACTCACGCTAAACAAAATCTTGGCAATTTTTATTTTGGCCTTGTAATTCATAAAGAAAAGAGTTTAAGCAGAGAAGTGTGCAGGTGAGCTGTTGCCATGGCTCACTGGGCTCCCTCCCAGCCTGCTGACACCACCCAGGAATTTGGTGGAGGTGCAACACATGGGGTTAGTCCTGATGAGCTGGAATGCTTGGAGATTCTCCAGAGGGTGCTGGAATTGCAATTTCATAGTTACTGCAAGTCAGTCTCTCACTTGAAAGCTTCCTTTGAAAGTGCCTTTGAGGAGGTCCCCGTGTGTTTGGGAAGTGGCATTTGCTCATCCAGAGCTCCAGGACTGTGTCCTCCTCATTGTTTTCTGGGAGAGGATCCAATGCACACTCCAGGCAAATGAAGTTACAGTGACTGTTTGGGGTTCCCAGGCCACGGTTGAGTGCCTTGGGCACTTATTAGGGCTATGCCAGCAGGGATTTGTTGTCTTACTGTCTGGAGGAGGGAGGACAATGCAAAAGTGATGTTACTGCCCAGTCTGATGTCACCTATTAACTCTGGCTTTTCTCTCTTTCTCTCCATTCCTCACCTTCCATCTCATTGCACTTCCCTGCATCCCTTCTTTTTTATTTTGGTTGACATTAAAATGCCACCTCCTCCTTTTTTAATTCTAAACCACGGCCTTTTCCCCATGGATTGGCCAGACACTTCCGAGGTTGATTTGTTTGTTATTAATGCTCCATACACTCCAGTGCCAGATCCGTCTCCCATGATGCCCCCGGTGGGAGTTCAGGCTTCCATCCTGAGCCATGACACCATCCGGATCACTTGGGCAGACAACTCCCTGCCCAAGAACCAGAAGATCACGGACGCGCGCTTCTACACCGTCCGCTGGAAAACCAACATCCCTGCCAACACCAAGTACAAGGTACTGAGTCCCACGGGAGCCTCCCAGCCCGGGCAGGGGAAGGCAGAGCTCTGGGAAGGCAGAGCTCTGGGAAGGCACAGCTCTGGGAAGGCACAGCTCTGGGAAAGCACAGCTCTGGGAAGGCACAGCTCTGGGAAGGCTGCTGGGCTCCTTGCAGGGGCAGGATTCAGGATTCCCCCAGCTCCACTCCCAGGGGAAGGCTCAGCTCAGGGAATGCTGCCGGGATGAGCCTGGGGCTCTTGGAGGGCCAGGATTGCTCCGGGTCTGGTGGGAGCAGTTCCTGTCTCCTGTGGGAAGGAGCTGGAGCTGGGCTATTGTGGGAGTGGATGGAAGAGCTGCTTCAGGGAAGGAATGGAAATTTCCAGAGTTGTTCTGTTCTGTGGACACCGTGATAGTTTGAAGCTTCCCCCTGGCCGGATCCCTGGGAGTGGGAGGTGTGGGCTCCCCTCTGGAGAATCACTAAAATACTGCAAGTGGATTGTGACTGGGGCCCCTCACTGAGCCATGCAGGGAAAACAGATTTACCCCCATGCTTTGAAGTTTCCTTTTAGAACCTTTTCAGTTCATACAAAACTCATAGTGAACCTTCCCTTTCGGAGCTGACTGGCTTCAAAATATACAACAAAAGCTTTACTATATCCTTGCCTTCCTCCATTCTCATGTGTTTCGATTTGGAGACTGGATTTGGGGTTTGGTTTGGTAGTTGGTTGGATTTTTTTATTAATTTTCAGAGTTACCGCAAGGGCTCAAAGCTGCTGACTGCAAATTTCACATTTGTTACGAGACTCAGAGGAACTGGTAGTTAAAATACCCAGCCAGTGGAGCTCCCTTTATGCTCCTGCAGAGCCAGTTTGTTATAATCCAGATATTTTCTTTATTGAAATGAAAAGATGTAAATATGTGTGTATTCCTCCTCTAAAGGCAAGTTACTTCTGAGCCACATTCCTGAGTCATGTGCAGAGGATGTCTCAGGAGTGGTTTAAATAAAGCTGCAGTTTCATTAGCTAATTGCTTAAAAGAATGAAATAAAATAGAAAATGGAATAAAATAGTAAATTTACTATTCCCACTGTTCTGATGGTCAGTGGGCAAGAAGTTTTCCTGTGACCAAAGCCAACACCGACTGATGGAATATAGTTTAAAATTACTCAAAATTGTAGAGAGGATTTGCCTGAAGGAAAGAATTGTTGGAGGTATTTGCTCCAACCACGTGTAACCCGTGGTGTCTGGAGAACCCACATCCTGCTTTTCTTCCCTTGTTTCTGTTGGAAATCGTCTCCTGAGCTGTTGGGTGTTTTTGGGGAGGTCAGAGCCCTGGCAGGGAGTGCTGGGTCTCAGTCAGGCTGTGGTGACTTCACTGCAGTGAGTGCAGAGCTTGTCCTGGCCCCTCTGCAGCTCCTGCTCGCTGCAGAGGCTTTGAAATGTCCCTGTTCTTGGGGACAGAAATCCTGTGTCACCTCTGCAGGATCCAGAGCAGTGTCTGCTCAGCTCACTGGGGTTTCATTCTCCCTCTCATCCCTAAATTGGGTGTTGAGACTGTTCACTGAGATTTTCTGCCTCTGCCCTGTTCCTGCCCTGTCACAAACTCCTGAGGAAGAGGCTGTGTGCTCTCCACGTGAGTGCTTCCTCCCTAAGGAGCTTTATTTTCCTCAGTTTGTGCAGGATTGTGCCAGTCTGAGCCTGGAAACCCAGGAACAGATGGGATGCAGCTCCTGTGCTTTAAACTGTGTCTCTGCACTAACATGGAGCAGTTTTCCAAAGCCCCCTTGTTGGTGTGTGGGGTTGTCCTGCAGCCTGGGATCCATCAGGGATCAATGAAAATATGAAACATTGGATCTTCTAGGACTGCCTAACAGAGAAACAAATTGTTCAGGGTAATATTTATGGAGTTTATTTCTAGCAGGTGCACATGGTTTGCTACTGTGGGATAGACTGGCATCTTAAAAATAAAAACGTGCTGTTAAATTGTGGAGTCTGACACCAGGGGGGCTCAGCTGTGTCACTTACACTCAGTGTGGGATGCACAGGGAAACTAAAAGATCTCAAGGCCAGAGATGGAAACCAGAACTTTCACCTGTAAAAGAAGCCCAGCTGCCACATCAAATAATACAAATATTGGAATGCTTAAATACTGCTGGGAATTCCAGCATCCCAGAGAGGAAGAGCTTTTTGGGGTACAGCAGCTGGTAATGCCAGATGGGAGGGAAAGATTGCTGCTTTGGGCTTGTCATTCCATCCCTCCCAGCCTTCCCTGTGTTCCCTGCCTTCCCCAGGGAGCTGTGCCCATCCCAGCTGTGCCACAGCCCCTCAGCCACAGTCCCACCCATTCCAAACTGCAGAGTGTGTACCAAGGAGAGGCTTAAAGCCAATGGGGGATTTAATTTTAGTTCATTTTATGAGTCTTTGTTGTCTGGCCACAGATAGCAAAGCCCTGGGCACAAATCACTGTCATCCCTTCCATCACTATTTCCTGAACTTTCATCCCTTGTAAGAAAAAAGAAATGAAGGTATTGGAGATCTCAGGGTTTCTTTGTCACTGCTGGAGCCTTCAGAAAAGGTGCCTTTACCCTGGCAGTAAATCAGCTGCACTCAGTGGTTTCTGGAGGCAGTTGTTGTATGGCCCTGTCAGATCCTGAAACAACTCTTTAATTCCCTGTTTACACCACTGCAGGTCAAGGGGAGGAATATACATATCTGTAAATACAGCTTTCCTTCTTTTCCATGGGCCTCCAGTACATTCTGTTGGTGCTGAAGCCATTTATTGCAAATACCAGATAAATAATAATAAATACCAGATAAATGCTGAATTACAAATTCCTCTATGACCCATGTGTAGTTTCCTTGAGTTTCCTTGATCCTAAATAACCATTTTTTCTGAAAAGAATCTACATCTTAGTAAAGTTTCATTCTCTTCAAGTCTCAAAAGCGTATTTTTAGTTGATTGTTTATTAAATTTGAGGTTGTTCTGGAAATTCCAGTAGGAATCTGGGAGGCAGCTCCAGGTTCCAAGCAGGACTGTTCCTTGCTGTGCTTTTTGTTTTCCCCAGCCAGAGGAGTTAATGAAATGCTGTAAATGAACCCCCAGGTAAACAGAGTTTAACCACTGCATAACAAGTGGGCCCTGGATCTTGTATTGTCTTTTTTTCATTTCTAATTGACTGCTGTTAAGTGCTCCTGCTGATTGCAGAATTTCTAGTGGAGGATAAACGTTGATATTTGATTAATGAATTTGCACGACAGAGAAGAGCCAGCCCTGAACGAATGCCTGTGCTTATGGAAATGCTGGGGGGTGTGAGAGCTGTGGCTTTGGGAAGTGCTGACCCTGTTTCCCTTCCAGACTGCCAATGCCACCACCCTGAGCTATCTGGTGACGGGTCTGAAGCCAAACACCCTCTATGAGTTCTCCGTGATGGTGACCAAGGGCAGGAGATCCAGCACCTGGAGCATGACAGCACATGGGACAACCTTTGAATTAGGTACTCCTGGGATATTCCTAAAGAAACCTCCACTGAAGTGGTTCTGCTAATTAACACTTGCTGGGAGGGATCTGAATGGTTCAGTCAGAAATTCTGATTAAGAAAAAAAAACAACATCATTCAAAATTGCAAGGGATGATTGCAGGAGAATTTACATCAAATTACACAGAAGTCATGAATAATGCACTACAGTTCATGGGCAGGAGAGAAGAAAGTCTCACAAAAACCACATTAACAGCAAATACAAAGAAAACACTTCAGTAAATGATAATTAAAATTTGCTGTAAATGTGATAATTGTTACAGAGTGAGAAGGTGCACGAGGCAAATGAAGACAAAAAAAAAAATCACTGTAGGCATTAAGACATCCAAATGAGCCCTAAATTCCTGTTCAGTGCAGAACAGAGCAGGGTTTGTAGCCGCCAGGAAAAATTCAGGCCCAGGGAGTGGCTGTGAGGGCCAGGCCGTCTCCCCGACCTGCCCTTCATTAATTCTTCTTACCCTGCAGTGTTAAATGAACTTTGGGCAATTAAATTGCCTGCTTGTTATGCTTTGGGTTCTCTTTAGATGGACCGTGGAGAACAAGAAGCCCACCCAAATGAGCCCAGAGTTCTCCTTCTAAATTAAAACACAGCCAAAAAAATCAAACATGCAAAGAATTAGTGAGGTTTTCCAGATATTCTATCATAGAAATTCTATAATTTCTGCTTAAGAAAAAGCAAAGCCAGGGTAAAATCGAAGCCCCAGTGAGCTTCAATTGCTTTTGAAAACATTGTTGTGGTTTTGGGTGGGAATTCCATCATGTGGGGCCAGCTCTGGGCTGGGGCTCCTTTCCCATCCCACTATTCCCAGCCCACATTAAACACTCCATTTGGTATTTCTGCTGACACATGTTCAATCCTCAGCCATAACTCTGCCCTGAGTGCAGGGACTGTAAAAGCTGCACAAATAAAGTTTTTTAAAAGAGAATTTGACACAAAGTCCCTGAGCAAGGGCACAGTGCATTTAAATAGGAAGGGTCAGGTTGAAGTGGTTGTAAGGAATATTTGCAAATATGACCATAAAGCTGGGGAATTAAGAAGGAAATTTAAAATAGAATTTAAATAAAAGGCTAAATATACTTTCTTATAACAGATCTTGTGATTTATAATACTGGCCAAATTCTTGAGTAAGTGGCTCATTATTTGGGATACTCCTGAAAGGTGTGTAGGACTTGCTTCTAAAAGGAAAATAGGGAATTCTGGGCCCTTTGTTATCTGTGTATTCCTGATCTCCTGTGAACTACTCCTGATTTTCTATTTTTGTTTCCTCTGAATCCTGTTTTTACATATTTGGGGTGATAGTTACAATAATTTCTGGGCTTTGGCTGTCCCTCGTTTCCAGCTCTCCATCACAGGGATAATTGATGGCCATCCAGAGGATTTATGGATGAATTTCTAATAGGCCACATACCTAAAGCTCTGGAAATGCAGAAAGTTCAGTGGTACTGTGGTTGTATTAAATACCCAAGGTGGATCTACTCTGGGTTGCCCCCTCAGGAGCCTCCTGGATTTCAGGATGTGGCACTGCAGGATGGTCAGTGCCCTCTGGAGGCTGCAGTTCATAGCAAGGATTTGTTTTCTGCTGGAGCAATTTGTGCTCTTCCCTGAATTTTTGTCAGGAGAGGCTGATGGGAGGAGGAAAAGTCTCCCCTCCTTTCTTTCCCTGTGCTGTTCTCTGGCAACCCAAGGAAAAAGGTTGGCTGGATGTGTTGAGCAAATACTTCTGCATTTGAAACATCTCTGAGGTGCAGATGCCTTCCAAATTACAACTCATTCTTCAGGAGGTCAAACCATTGCAGGTTTGCCCAGAGAGTGTTCCCCAGAGCAGCTGTGGCTGCCCCATCCCTGGCAGTGGCCAAGGCCAAGGCTTGGAGCACCCTGGGACAGTGGAAAGTGCCCCTGGCCATGGCACTGGATGGGCTTTAAGGTCCATTCCCACCCAAACCATTCCAGGCTGGTATAATTCTAAGTTGCTGGTGGATTTACTTTGCTGATTGGTATTTAAGTGGCAAATGGGCACTTGTGGGTCTGAGTCCCACCATAAACCTGGAAAGAGGGAGATATTTCAGATGCCTGCCTATATTATAGAATGTATCTTTCACAAGCTTGTGGGATTTTTCTGATGACTGAAGACATTCAGGTGGGAAGTCACTGGCCCCACTTGTCCAGTTTTTTGTGGATGCTCATTCATGGATCACATCTGGTGCCAGAAGTGCTCTGGAAAGGGGGAACTCCTTGTGGGATGGAGGCACTGACTCTGGATGGCATTGGCCAGTGAGGGGGTAAATCAGACACTACAGGAGGGGGGATTTATAAAAGTAAAGAGAATAACCCAAATATAATTATATTCCACATCAAATGAAGGTCCAGGGCCCTGAGGTGGTTGTGACAGAGCAGCCATTGCTGACACTCTGGGTTTGTGTTTGTTCCAGTGCCAACCTCGCCCCCCAAGGACGTGACAGTGGTGAGCAAGGAGGGCAAACCCCGCACCATCATCGTCAACTGGCAGCCACCCTCTGAGGCCAACGGCAAAATCACAGGTGGGGCTTCAGGGGCTGCCCCTGGCTGCTTGGCCAACCCTGCAGTGGCTCAGATTCATGATTTACTTCTGTACCTCATCAAAATATATTCAGATATCAACTAACTGCAGTGAGAAATGGAAGTGGAATCAGAAATCCGGTTTAAATATCTCCATAACCTTTGCTCGTGCTGCTCTAATAGATGGTCTCCAGCAATTATCCCTGGGGCCTCTGGCCCATCAGAGGTTTATTTAGGAGAAGCCATCCCAGTGCTCTTCGTCATCTTTGTGGCATTTTTGTGTCACAGAACAGACTTCAGAGCAGTTTCTTGTTCCCTTGACAGACACATTAGGAATAAACTGTTATTTGCCTTTAGCTGCATCACTGCCACATAGGATAAATCACTTTTCAGAAAGTAATAATTACTGATTCCCTTCTATAATTTTTGTTCAGGCTCCCATTTGGAAGGGCTTTCTGAAGTAATCCACTTCAATTTTAATTTGTTTAAAGCTGAAATCAGATTTTAATGGCATGTTGTTTGCAGTGTCTGGTTTTGGGTCTGAGCTCAGAATTAACTGTGGTGCAGAATCAAACCAGGGACACCACTTGACTGGGCAGGGCTGGAGCTGAGGCTCTGGACAGGAGACTAAAACTGATGAAATCCCTGGGAAAAGGCAGCAAAATGTTTCCTCTCCAAGGGAAAGGAGGATTGACTGGAGACACAGGAGCCTTGGAGAGATTTGGCTGTCAGTGAGGGGTACAAATGTCTCACACTGGAGCACAGTGGAGGGAGGGGAGACAACTACAGACAGCAGCATTTACCTGTACAGGGTTAGCAAATTTATCTCACTGTCCAGCTCCAAAATCCCCTGGCAGTGAAGGAAACCCTTGGAACAGAACTGTTCAGTACTTATCAGCTTTTGCACAAGCAGCAGTTAGCAGCTTAAAATTGAACTAAAATGGTGATTCAGGGCTAAGCCTGAGTGCAGCAGGCACCATCTCCCCTTTCCCAG